TTTCTGTTGTTTTCTTTCTTGTTTTTCTTCATCTAAAGAGATTTTTATCTAATTGTTCTCCAGGGAAGGGATGCTACAAATCCATTACTCTGGCAACATTTTCTGTTTGATATATTGTTGACTATCATGTTCTCCATGCTGCCTTCTAATTAATGCAGGAATAGTGATTAATTGTTTGCCACCACAAAATAAATAAGATATTTGAGTTTGAAAAAAGGCTACGAATACCACTCTTCAGACTGTTTCAAATTATTTAACCATCAAAATATCAGAAATGAGAATTAAGATGTGGATGATTGTTGTTGTCAGGCAGTTTGAAGGCACTTTCAGAATCCTGGTGATGTCATCAGTGGAGGTAAAGGATGAAAGGTTTGCTTTGCCTCCAACGGTTGCAGAGCTCCTAAAAACCTTCTTGAAGATGGGAACGTGGAATTCAGGGTTTATTTCTCTGGTAGGGTAATGGGGAAAACAATTTCTGGGTACACTAACTTTCTCTGAATACTAAAACCCACAAGTGGTTCAGGTTAATTTAGGTTAATGCCCAGCTCTAATTTTGGAGTGGTTTTTTAAGCTAGATAAGATCTTGCCTTCTCTCTAGCCTGTGGCTTCAGAAATTTTGCATTTTGTGTTCTCTTTGGAGAGCCAAGTGCTCTTGTTTTTAAAGTATTTAAGGTTTTCTTTTTGCTACCACAGGAAAATCCTAATTTGCCACCTAAATCTTGGAGCCAACTTTCCCAGTATAGATCAGTTCAAGACACAGCCTGTGGAGCTTTGCTCCTTGGACTGAATATTTTATGAAGTAGACCCTCATTTATCAGTTTTTGCCCAGAGACTTCCTCTGGGACTTTTAAAGAATTGAGCAGTGATCTTTGTGTCCTCGTTAACAGAAGTATAAATAAAAAAGTAATATTGAAATGATGTTGACAGAGGCTTTCTCCTGTGCATAACAATGTGGTGGAATCAATGGAAATTGGCTTTTCATCCTGGAGAAGTTTGCAGCAGAGTTAGGAACTGATATGATTGCTCAGAGGATGTAAACACTGACAGATTTTTTTAGAGATGAAAGTTTTATGGCCATTTAGGCACAAGTCAGAAAGCTTCATCTTAATTAACACAAATTAAGTGGTGTTCTGAGACTTTGAGAGAAGGAGCAGGTCACAGCCAGGGTTGTTCTTGCATGGGTGTGACCTTCCTGTGCTTCCTTTCCACGAGCACAAAACCCACTGAAATCCTGACTTTTTGCAACAAATGCAATTGTGTTACGTAATTCTGGTAATTAATGATAATTTCAGGTACTGATGGAACCAAGGGAAAGGAAGAGCCCTCCTTGCTCAGAGGTAGCTGAGAATCCACTGATGTTTTGTGGTTTGGTTTGTTTGGGTTTTTTCCTGAGCTCTTCTGTCAGATGCTGAATGATGAGGTAATTTGCTTTGTAATGAGAAGGAAATTCTCACACTGAGCTTTTTATGGGTGTTTTATTAGGGAATCTTTAAGCTTTTCAGAAGCACATGATTTTTGTGTACACAGATAAAGTTGGGCTCCTGCTATGGCTCTTGGTTTCTTTGTGTTCTAATTTGGGTAGAGTGAAGTGTCTTGCAATGAAGATTTCTACAATTTATTTTTTTGTTTTGTTTTGTTTTTACAAAGGCTTCCAATGGGGAAAAAAAGATTAGGGATATAATTGTGATTCATAATTATCTGTGTATGCTCCAGAAGTCTTGGCTGCTGTGCAGGCACAGAGATGCATTATGGATGGAGTGTGAGTGATAAAATTGTTAGCATGTGTTTACATCCTGATAGCAGGTGAAAATAGAGCTATCAGTGGGAATGACTTACTGCTATTAAAGCTGAATTTCTGTCTTCAGTTAATAAGTCCTGTTTGCATTGCCACAGTTCAGTTCAGAGAATGCTCTATTATGAATGAGCTGGGAGATTAGAAACTAAGAGCTCTTGTGCTGCCTTCATTAAAGATGACACCGTGACTCAAGTCTTCTCTTCTAACATGTTAAAGCAGATTTTAGCCTGGTGGTTCCTCAAGCCAGAATCCTGCTCTGCAATGTTTTACAAGAAAATGTGGTAAAAACGAGCTTCCAAATAAAGTCCTTTCTCCTACTTGAACAAGCACCTTTAAACTTGCCAGTGAAAAAAATCTGTGGTTTTTGGTTTGGTTTAGAGCGTCGAGAACAAAACCAAGTTTAGAGTTTTTAAATGAGCTCTCGGTCAAGCTTCCATCTCTTTTCAGGAAAACTGCTGGAATTAAGCATTGCTGGTACACAGAGCTGACACAGCTCAGATTCCTCACTAGTTTTTGTCATGAGGTAATGTTGGCATATCTGACTCTGCTCCCCTGGAATGAGGCTCCATCAGGACATTTCCAGGGGATCTTTTAAACTACTGATATTTTACAGGTGGGAAGGTTGGATGAAGCACACAGAGTCTGTCAGTAACTTTGTTAATATTGCATGGTCTGTGACTGGGAACTATTGTCTTTACAGCTCTGCTTTGTCTTTACAAAATTAAGCACGGTTGAAATACTCAATTCTCTCTTTGCTCACCCCGTTCATCCGTCTTGCTGACATCCCTTTTTCTTGCAGGCCATTTGTTAAAGACATTTCTTACTTGCAGTTTGGTACTTAATAGATAAAAAATAATAATGTTGAAATTACAGTGTCTATTTCTAGAGTGGTGCTTTAAAATATCAACTTTCAGCAGCAGTACTGGGGATTTTTAGTGCTTACTGTGGTTATTTCTCATGTGAGTGTGCAACAACTGTGGAGAACTGGGAGCTCTGTCTCCAAAAATAGGCTGCAAATCTGGAATTGTCAAAGCATTTTTCTTTTTTTTTACGACTTTTTGATCATTTTTGGGGTTGTATTATGTAAAATTGTTTCCAAAGGATCCACAAAATAAATTTGTACATTTATATGTATTTCTTTCTGGTGAGCTGCTCACGACAGCAATCTGCTGACTCCACGGCAATTCATGTTTTTCTAAAATTTTTAGACTGTGCTCAATAATTCAGTAATGTGCCATTATTACCTATTTAATGTATTCTTGCCATTAAACTTTCATTTCCTTTTGTGCAGTTAAATGTCACTGAAGACTGAGCTGTACCAGGTTTATCTCAAGATGAGCGACTCAGCAGTCCAAGCTTGGAATTCTAATCAAGCAGGTTAAACTTGTGTTCAATAAACTGAGAATTAGGTATTGCTGCTGCTGTGGCACAATATGGGTAGATATTGTTTCAAAATCTTGATTTTATATGAATTAATATCCATCACTGTGTTGGTTCCTGTTTCTCAGTGAGCTTCACGAGCTGCCAGCCTTGCTCTTACACCACCGAGGCTTTAATTGGGAGGATTTCTTGGAAAACTTGGTATTGCTAAAGTTTTCAATCATACTTTTAAGAACCAATTTTTAAATGTTTATTTATGTATTCTCCCATTAGTTAAAGTGGGCTAATCCAGGTGGAATATTTGGCCTCTTTCCCATGGAAGGTATTTTCAGCTTAGCTGTGCTTGCCTGTGGCTCGTGCAGTGACACTTTTGGTACCTCTCAGGTTCTCACAGCATCCAAGTGAAACGTGAATAGAGCATCCACCTGAATTCCCAGGCTCAGTTCTTTGGGTTCAGTCTGGTGTCAGAAAGAAATGGGGTTTTATTTCAGATTTCTCCATGTCCCTGTTTAGTTTGCAGGTTGTTGTTCTGCAGTGGGGAGTAATTAGAAAGGAGGCCCAGGCAGGCTCTAAACGAGAGAGGCTGGAGCAGAGCTGTGCCCTGGCAGCAGCCAGAATTCCCAGGGAAGGAGCTGTTCCAAGGAAAAGCCACGAGGAGCTGGGCTGCAGGGTTTCTGTAGCCCAGGGAGTCACTGGTGTCTTTTATTCTGGGGTTTGATGTGTGCAGCAAACGCTTTCATCAGCCCCAGTTCTCTGTCAGCAGAGCTGGTTTAATCCTGGAGCAGATGTGTTTTTTTCCCAGTGATTTGTGACTTTGTGGCTCCAAACAACCCCAGAGAAGAAAAGAGCAGACTAACATGCACTTGCTTTGAGGCAAACCAATATTTCCTTTAGTAGCTTGCACCCTTCCTCTATTTGCAAAATAATTGTTAATTTTTTTTATGGTTTTTTTTTTCACATAGGGAGAAAAAAAAGCACCACATTTTTCTATTTTAAAGCATTATGTCAAACTTTTAATGATGGCTGCTGGGATGAAAGTCAATCTCAGTCTCATTTCTAGGCTTCCACACTTCCTAAGGAAAAAAAAAACAAGACTTCTGTTGTTCCATGGTGTTTTTCTCAGTAATAATTTCTCAAAGCTTTTGTCAGTTTGCTGGGACGAGTGGGTGGATATTTCATTTTTCTAAGTTTGGTGAAATTACAGAGTTGAGATTGTGCCTCAAAAAAGGGAACCTAATACAGGCAGCCTGAGGCATGAGCTGCATGGCTGGGCAGGAAAGAATCCACAAAGAATTCTGTAATAAAAGGCAAAGAAAATTAGATGTCGCAATGTATGATTGTGTCATTGATAGTTCTGCACATTTTACATATAAATATATGTGAGGTGGGGGACATGACTTCACTTGAGCAGTGAAATCATAGATTCCCACAGCAAACTAAATTTCACTGGGTGTTTTCATAGAATTCATTTTATAAAATCGTTCATCTCTTCAAATAAAAATGGCCACAGTATTTAAAAATTTTATAGAGCAAGTTGTATTCTCTGTCAGTGGCAAATCTTCACCATTGGAAAGGGATCATTTATGGTATGAACTTCTACCATTAATAATCTTAATTCATCAAATGATGAGATCAATAATATTGCTGTTAATATTAACTCATAAAAATGTCATATTTGGAAGCAGAACAGCACCTGCAGATTTTGCAGATGGAACCTTTGTCCTGAGATCTCTTTCCCTGGGGACTGCTTCCTTTATTTACTGTGGTTTTATTTTTATTCCTTTATTTGTGCTGCTTTGAGTCATTTTCCTTAACAAAACCTCACAGCTTTGCTGAGAGTGCCCGAGAGCAATATGAGAAACTGTCCAACATGCACAACAACATGACAAAATTGTATGAAAATTTGGGAGAATACTTCACCTTTGATCCCAAAGCAATAAGCATAGAAGAATTCTTTGGCGATCTGAGCAACTTCAGAACTCTGTTTTTGGTGAGTAATACCTGCAAAATGTTGTATATTTTCTTATATCTTTTTTTTCTCCCAGTTTTAATTCTTTCCTTGTCCTTCTATTTTTAATGTTGTGCTTAATTTTGTGTTTTGTTCCATGGCAGGAAACGTTTCCAGAATTATTTTACATTTTGGTCATGACATATTGTTCTCCAATGTGTAACTTGACAACTCAACTGTGGATAAGATTGAGGCAAACTTAATCCAAATTTGATATTTTAGCAATATAATCAATCAGTTTTTATGGACCAGGGCAATCATTAAAAGTTGACAGTGGAACAATTTTAATTTTTTTTTTTCTGTAAGGGGCAGAAAAATGTACAAAACATAATTAAGATTTTCTGCAGCATCTTGATGCTTGCAAGAAGTTTCCCCAGAGAAAAATACTCTGAAATTCCTTTAACCTGTGGGATCTATTTTGAAAAAGCAATGAGTACTGATAAGAATTCAGAAGAATCAGAGAAGAGTGAGGGAAGAGAACATCTCCAAACATTCCCTACAAGTGTTAAATTTGTCCACTTCACATTGCTCTAATACCTCCCTGCTTTCTCTCAGCTGTCCCAGAAACTTCTCTTAGTATTTTGGTGATTGGCTGAAGTATAATTCCAAATATTTTTTAAATATTGACAGTTCATTTTTTCCTGTTCAGCGTTCTTTCCTATTCTTGCTAGTGGCTGGCTGTAGAGCAAAGCCCCTTCCTTGTGCCATGAGCCAGTTCAGTGTCGAGGTTCCAAAGTCCTTCAGCTTGCTGCAGCATCACAGGAATTAAGTAAAGCATTTCCACAGGATTTTCCTTTGCCAGTGGAACAGGAGTCAAATTGGAGCCTGGAGAATAAAGAAAAATGTGAATTCTCCTGGAGCTGTCAACTGCAGAGAAATTGAATAAAGAGTAGCAAAAGGGGTGGTTTTTTATGGGTTTTCTTTTTTCCTGTTTGCAATTAAGGATCCACTAATAATATAGATAATATAATAATAATATATATAATAATAATATCTCTTTAATATATAGAACTCCGAAGAAGAAATATTTTTTTAGGTTTTTAGTCCTTTATCCCATTGAAAGTAAACAGAAATTGTGATTGTCCTTGAGGACAACTTCAACCTGATACAACATGAAGCCCAAAAGGATCAGGCTCTTACCAAATAATGATTAATCATTTGCCTGGAGCCAGATGCCAGTTAGTTCTTTTCCATTTGTGTTCTTTATCTTGCAGTCTCACACTCTGTGTCAAGTGACCTGTAATGTTTGCAGGCTGTCACTTTTCACAGTGTTTGTTTGTGCTGGTGGCAGAGGATTTAAAAACTTCCACCAAATCTGTCATGCCAACATTTGTAAATGGACATAAACTTATTTTCAATCTGATTGTGCTGTGGAAGTTCTATGGAATATGGACCTCAGCACTAGATAGGAAAATTGCCTTTTTTCTTACCCAGATTTTATTAGATTTTGTTTGCTCTGTGGGCTTCCTCCTAATGCAGATGGTCTTAAAGGTGAATTTTGAGTCTAAAAAAGCAAAGTTGTTTTTGAAGCAGGAGAAGGGATTTTTGGGTATTGTATGAAATGTTTGGTTCTGTGGAGTGATGTTTGTTTTTAATCTGGTAGATCCAGTTTTATCAGTGGTCACTGCTTCCCTCACATTTGTGCAAATGCAGCTCTTTGAATAAGGAATTAAATCTTGAAGCACATTTATAAATGTACCCAGAGAAGAAGAGTTGTGTTCCAGTTTCAGCCTGTATTTAAGCAGATGTGAGAAACTCATCAGGTGGCAGAATGAGAGATGGGCTTGGTAAAACACCAGTGAAATAAATTGTCCTTTTGTATCAGCCCTGGTGTTGATTGATGGCTGCTGTGTGCCCCCAGTGCAACATCCACAAAGTGAAAATCTCCCCAAAATGAGGAGGCACATTAAATGATCAGCAAACTGAACACTTTTTATTGGTGGCCACTACTCTGGGCTTCAGGATTTTGCAAGATTGATGCCCTGGACCAGACAGGACCAGACATTTCTTATGTTGCCTTCATAAAAGCCAGTTTTTACTGCAGTGGATTCAGTAGAGTAGAAATGTACCTGTAAGACCTTTCCTTCTTCCTAATATTCTTTTCTTTATAACTTGCTTCAAAGTAAGTTTCAAGCTCTGTGACTCAGGAGTGTTTTTTCATGGTGGCTTTTTTAAAATGTCCCTAGAATGCAGCAGGTCATTTGCTACAGTAATATAACTCAATGAATAAACAATACATAAATAAATACATAATAAACATCTGATTTACTATGAAATACAATGCATAGTCAGACTAAATTCCCAGCTTTCAAACTCATAAATTGAGTTTGTAATTCAGGAGTGCTTTAAAAGAAAGGCTCTATTTATTCATTGTTCTCTCTGGTTATTTGTCTGGGAATACACTTCATCCCTTCTGCCTAAAAAGTAACAGTTCTTTAATGCAGCCTGAAAGATAACAGTTTCCAGCTAGCAGGAAGCTGGGAAAAAATAAAGAATAATGAGCAAGAAGTATTTTCTTCAGCGAAATTTCCCAAGAGGTGGTACCAAAAGTGAAACACTGTCCTTATTAACAGGCAATATCCAGCAAGCCATTCCTCCCCAAACCCCAAATACAAACCTTTTGTAAGCTCTCTAATTTCTCATCCATCCAGCTAGTGCTGAGCAGAATAGGTTTTAATCATTATCCTGAAGAAGGCAGGAATTAGGGGCAGGCTAGGAAAGGATGCAGGTGGTGGAATTCACATGGGAGGAGTAGCTCAGCTTTATTCACGAGGGGTTAGTGCTGCTGGGTAAGTGCTTTATTCATGATGTAAAACACAAGGATGGCATTTCTCTTGGAAGCTCCCCAAAAGGTGTAAAAATAACTAATAATAAAAGGAATTAAACTGAGTTCAAGTAGACTGTGTTGGCAAGTGTAGCAATAACTGGCTAGATGGAGTTGGGATTTTGTTCTGACCCAGATTGCTCCTCTGTTGAGGTGGTTGCCTTTGTGCATGGGGTAAAAGCACTGGATGCCATATTTCAGGGTAGAGATGCCACTGATTAAAGAATATTTCCAAAAATTATAGGGGAAAACAGGGTCCAGAGGAAACCTTGACCTTAAATTTCCTGATCTTGAAAGGAACGGGATTTAGAAGTTTTCTTTGATTTGTTGTTTTTTTTGTTTTGTTTTATATTCAGTGCTGGTAGCAGTGAGTCCAACTGAGAAATGTCATTATTTCCAGGCATTATCTTTGGTTATTTTTGATATTTAAATGAGGTTTTTGAATCCTGATTCCACTCTGAAAGCAAAGCATGGTTTGGGATTTTGGCAGAGCTCAAGCTGTTGAAAAGCTCTTGTGGAGCAGTGACTTCATTTCCTGCTCTGAGTGTCCCCCCAGGTCCAGAAGAGACCCTCCCCCAGATGTTGTGTGCAGGCTGCAGATGCCAACATCTGCACTTGAATATTTCTGAAAAGATCCTGCCAGAGAATGAACTTGGCTTCTCTAAAATCTCCACATCTTTGTTTCACACGTACAATCTTAGTCTCATCATTCTGTTTGTTCCTAAATCCTATCGGGATAATTTGATAATTGGAATCCGCATTTGTCTTAATTGTGATTTCAGATTGATCACTGCATTATTGCAGCTTCATTTAGCCTGCTGATGTTGGAGTAAATTACAGCTCATCCACTTCCTTAAGTTCACGTTTGCTTGCTTAGCACGTTGAGGAGAATCCCAGCAGGCTGATGGAGCTGGATAATCCTGGCAGGGCACGGAGGGAAGCATCGAGTGGAAGGTGCAGGAAACCTCAGGATAAAAACTGCAGCTGTGTCAGCGTGTCCCTTCAGTGCTGCTTTATTCACATTTGTTATTTCCTTGCAGGGTAAAGCCACACACCCTCTGTAGTCCTTCCTTCCACCAGCCCTGTCTTGGGGGAAGTCTGCAAAATCTTTCCAACCCAGGCGTTTTTATTCTGTTATTTAATTACATTGTGTCTTTATATGCTACAGCGTGTGTAATTCTCACAGTCTCTTGTAAAATCTGTCAAGAATTTCTACCCAGAAACTTTGAGGCATCTCAGCACGTCACATTCAAGGTGCTGCTATTAAGAAGGGATTCAGGCTCATGTGTGAACAGTTCTTTCAGACTTCCCTTAGAATGAATTTTTGTTAAAAGGTCTAAAGGATTGTGCTCACACGATGATGTGCCAAAGCATTGATTTGTCTCTTCCTTGATCCACAAAGATTGCTTTTGGAACAAAACAATAATTGGTCTGCCCTGGGCCTTGGTTTCTCTTTTAGGATTGTACCCAAACAGACCCCATTTGTTATCCTGGGCTTTTCAGGTTGTGTGGTTTTTTGTAAAGGCAGCGACACAGTTTTGTTTTTGTGTGAGTACTTCAGCTCTGTGGCTCTGTCAGGAATACCCTGAATGAGGTGTGTGTGTGTGGTTTCCAAATATTGATGGAAGGGAGCTGGAAAAACAGACCCAAACCTGTCCACTCAAGGGCTACTGAATAATGACTCCAACTTACACACCTGAGTAATTAATTGATACCATGCAGCTTTTCACTGCTAGTGTGAAATTTGGTTTAGCAATCACTGCAAGCCTCTTCTGCCTGGGCAGTTGGAAGTGTTTTTGCATGCCAGCAGCAAACCCCTCTCTCTCCCTGCCCAGACAGCAGCAGCTGCCCTTGGCAAGGTGACATTGGTGTCACTGCTGCAGGAGCCCCTGTCCCAAAGCCCCTCTGCCAGCAGCAATTCAATTTGTCTGCTCCTGGTTAATACCAGCTCCTTACATCTCTTTTCCATTATTTTTGTGGGGATAACAATGTATTTAAATGTGTTATCCTCCAAGGAACACCCATGAAACATCTTCCCTTTACATGTGAACTGATTGCTCAGTCTGCTGTGCTTTAACTCTGAGTTGCTGTAGATTAATTTCCAGTTAATCTGAGTTTGTCCTTCCTGACGATTTATGACCGAAGCAGATTATTTTGCTGGAACTTCAGCTGACATATTTTGCAGTTGCAAGGCAAATTTGGGGGAGGCCTGAGGGATGAGAGGCAGCCCTCATTATTGGTGCATGACCGCTTTGTAGCCAGCTGCATCTTTAATATCCAGAGAGATTTGTGCCTTACAGTTTGTTTTCTTTCTTCTTGTTTTTAATAATTTACCTCCGAGAGCCTATTTACAACCGTGTCGATGTGTGAATATGTTTGTCTGTCAAAACTTAAGATATGTACAGAATGCAAGAGATGCATTAATTTTTTATTTGCTTCTTAAGGAAGCCAAGCTGTAAACTGGCAGTGCTGAGTACCAGAGCTGCACTTCAGTGGATCCTAATAAACACAAGGGGGAACATCAAACTATGTGCTTCTTCAACTAACTCACTTAAAAAGAGATAATATTCCTTCCTGAATCTAGATCTCTGCTAAGAGAGACAATAATTCAGTTTTCTTTTTATTATAACAAAGCAAACCCACACTCAAACTTTCTCTAACTTTTAATTTGCTGTTGAATTAGCAAAACTGCTTGCCCTTATGCACCACCCAAAATAACAAAGGGTCATGAAAAGCACGTCAGTAAAAGGGTTTTAGGCATTTAAATATTTCTGTCTGCTGAGATTCAGTCAAAAATGATTTCTCTTTCTGCATGCACTTGCGTGTTTTCAGAAGACAGCATCTTGATGAGGACATCCAAAATGTGTTCTAAAGCAGCTGAGAAGGCTTTTATTCTTACCAGAGGATTGCTTCTTTGTCTGATTTATAACTGTCAGATTAGTTTACTTTTAATTGCAGAATAAGTTCAGTTGTGTGGTAGATCCCTGTGAACAGCAGTGAGTTCTGTGTGCAACTACACTGCAGTAACAAAACTGATTTTTATTACTTTTTAAAAGCAATGCCAATTACACAGCTTTATTTTTTCAGCCTTCAAACTGATCTTTACCTTTTCAGGTAATTAAGCCTGCAAAACAAAAAAATTTGATTAGTTGGAAAAAAACTGTTAATCTGGAATAGCACTGTTCTGTATTTGAAGAAATCCACTGCAACTCAAATGTTTGGGAGAGAAGAGGTCTGGGGGAGTATAAAAGCATGTCTTGAGAGAGAAAAATAACCCTTGGCAGTAGAACTGTAGAAAATGAAACTGAAAGGATTGATATAATTCAGGCAGAGCAAATGCTGTAGAGAAACCACTGTACACCTGGGTCAAAATTCTCTTTATTTACATTAATCATCAGTCAGTTTTGAGAAACCGTGATCAAATTTGTTAGCAATGTTAATTCAAATCTAAAGTATGTTTATAAATATAGATGAGTATAGATTTATTTTGCTTTCTGCACTGCCTTTGATAGCAGGTGGGAGTATGTTCTTGCCAATGATTTATTTCCAGCTTTCATCTGACTAAATGTATAGCAGTAAATGACATGGCAAATATGGAATGGTTAAGAGTCCAACTGCCTGATGGAGGGTAAGGACAAGCAAGCATATTCCAGGGGTGTAGATAAATTCACACAGAATTATCAGTATTTTGTTACCTTGCTGTTCTTCAAGAAGTTTAAACCTTTATTTTGAATGGATTTTTTTTGGTTTTTTCTGATCACTGTTGGTATCCATTGTGTTTTATGAAGTGCAGCCTGAATTTCCACAGAATCTTCCTTCAGCTAGAACTCGTACAGTTGAGCTGAAAGAGAATTTCCAGATGAAATAACTCCAGAGCTTGTTTAGTTTAGTCCTGGTAGTAAAAGTGATGGAATCTGTGCTGTAATCCCAGTTTGTCAGTGGCTGCTGAGCTTCCAGCACAACCATGACAATTCATATTTGCTTTATCTCCCAAGACTGGGGGTGTTTCCTTCCACTACAGCCTGGGAAGCTGCAGCAGAATGAAATCTCTGAACGTGCAGGAACAGAACTGTCCAAAACCAGAAGGGTTTGGACATTGGGTTTGCCCCTTAGTTCCTTTGTTTCTGAAAGAAAAGGAGTTCTGGGTGTTGCTGGTGCAGCTGGGGTGGGGCAGGGGTGCAGTTCTTGGTGCAGCACCTGGTGCCCAGAGTCTCTGCAAACCAGGGCTGGGATGTGGTGTGTGACCGCAGGAAAGTCCTGAGATGGCTCACTGAAACATTCTGCCCCTTGCCTGAATGAATGTTCTGCGTTTTGGGAGTTTGGGATTTTTAATTTGCTAGTCTGTATAAGTTGCTGCCTCAGAGACTTTTTAGTTATGATCTAAAAATACAGCTATTTTCCATTTCTTCTCCTGTATTTCAGTCATCCAGACTGGTTATTTCAACAAAAAATATTGATGAATTATATTTAAATTTTAGCACCTGAGTTTCAGTCACTTGTAATTGAATTTCAATCATAGTGGAAACTTGGCTTCCTCCCCACTCATCCCTCCTAAGAGCATGGCACAGGTGTAAGGTAAACTTGCAATCTTATTAAGGAAAAATACAAACATGTTGCTGCTGAAAAAAGTTCTTTTTTCCCTTCATCATAAATGCAAAGCTATTTCAGTTTCCATTGCTCTGGTCAATAATGCTGATATGTACAAATAATGTGGCACATTTTGTTCCCTCCAGGATTTCTGAGAGTGCTCCAAATTTTGGGACAAATCCCTGTTGTTTTTCTCTCCTCTCATTTCATATAAACACAATATCTGTGCAAACCAGGTCATTTTGGTTTTCCTCAGCGTACAGACACTGATACTCATTTCCTCTAATGCAGGAGGCATTAAAAGAAAACAACAAAAGAAGAGAATTGGAGGAGAAAACCAAGAGAGCCAAGCTGGCCAAGGAGAAGGCAGAGCGCGAGAGGCTGGAGAGACAGAAGAAGAAGCAGCAGTTGATTGATATGAACAAAGGTAAGGCAGCGTTTTTAGCTGAGAGATTATCATTAAAAAAGGCAAAACCAAGTCAGGAGTAATAAACTGAAGGCTATTTCTCATCAATATGAGCAATACTTGCTGGCTGTTCTGAAAGCTGGAGTAAGCTCTCTTTTCAAAATGGAAAATTCTGTTTTGTTTCAGCCTACCTGCTCATGTCATCCCATTTCTGCCACTTAATGGGTGTAATGTTCATTTTGAGGCATTTTGTTGTGAATTAATGGCTTTTTTGCATTTGTAGCACTTAATTGATAATTTTTTCCTTACGGATTGACTTCTGAGAAGAAGCATCTTCCTTGCTTTGTTGTTAATTCCGTTCTGTAAACACCTCTATAATCAAAGCATTGTGGCAATTAATGTCCTTCTTTTTGGGCTTGGGGGTCTGGGGTAGAATGGATATTCTCCCAGTAGTCCTATTAGGAGCTGGAAAATCTACTTGAGCTCGGAGCCTGAGTACAGAGTGACATTTCAGCAGGATAAAAAGCAATGTGTTGAGCTTGTCAGCTGGGAGCATCTCGAGTTTCACAGGAGGCCTCTCTGAGAGGGAGCAAGGCAGGAAACAGAAGGAATGGGGTGGGCTCAAGATTGATGCTGTGCACATTTCCAGGCTGTAAAATAGAGCCTTGATTCTTTACCTGGCTCCAGAAGGAAACAGAGGTAAAATTGGATTTAGGCAAGAGATTACTTGGAGGTTTTTGTTCAGTTTCTATGAGTTTGTGTTAATCTGCTAATCTGACCCAGCTATAAAAACACCTGTCCTTGTTATCCATTTAACAGGGGAAAATGCTGCAATGGGAGCACAAATCCTGTTATCTCTGGCCTTGCTTGAACTGGCACCGACTCTGCATGGAATATTCTGTAGCAGAAATTCTTTTCTGTGGATGACAACTCTATTATCAGATCATTTAAAGATTAGTCTAATTTCAGTATAGCTATAAACAAAATGTAAAATTTAAACACAGGGGATGCATAAATACATTTCCTTTGTGAAGTTAAACCAGTGAAGGTTTCTAAGGAGACTTTTCTAATCTATTCTTTCAAGCATATGATTAATATTTCTTTAATATCTGCCACCTGAGAAAGAAATGGCAGCACTTTTCTGTGAGTGGGGTAAGAGCCAGCTCAATATCCCTTCATCACCCTCCCTGTGCCAGGAGGGTTTGTTTGAACCAGCACTCGAGACAGTGCAAGCCAGGATGTTTTGTGAGCTGTTGTAAGGAGTGGAAGTGCTGGAACACTTGGATGCTGTTGTCAGTGGATGCTGTTGTCAGTGATTTGGGCTGTGGTTAAGGGCTGGAGCTCTCAGTCTGAAGTTCCAACTTCCAAAATCCAGTCCTGAGAGCAGCACCTTTGTTTTTCTGCATCCTTTTCCAGCAAGTGAGGGGGCACCACTCTCATCAGATGCCTCACTGACAGCATTTTGCTTTCCATCATGGAAGTCTTTTCCTATTAAATGATACAACTAAAGTTTAATTTTGCGTTGTAGTCCCCTCTTAATGAAAATGCAAATATATGAATGTCTTTACATGGCCCAGTGCACCAAAACTGCCACTTAAATAACTGATGTTTGTAAACCTGTGACACAAAGTCAGTTTAATACTTCTAAAATACCTTTTTTCCGATTTTTAAATATTTTTAAATATCCATTTCACTTATTACAACTCTGCTGCTGTGGTAGGAGGAGGGCTAAACCTCCATCCCCACTGCATTCCATGACATTGAAATTCAATTGACTAATTTTGCCAAATAACTGATTTTTTTCTCGATGCAGCTACTTCTGTGTGCTCACTGCTGCTTATATAAATATTTTGTAAATTTGTCTAAGTGAATGTGACACAGCAGACTTAGGGGAAGGAGCAGATGTCCTCTCAAGCTGTCACTTGGACAAGGTGATTTTCACCCAAAGGCTCATTTTAACCTCACCCCCTCTCAGCTCTTCCTCTGCATCTCCCAAAGTCAAATTTGATCTCAGTGCTGCAGCCTTTGAGCTCAGAGCAATTGGCTTCCTGCATTTTCCAGCTTCTTGGCAGCTCTGGAATAAGTATTATAATAATAAGTATTTTTCCCTGTTTTCTGACTATTCAGTGACCACTTTTTTAGGGTCACTGGAGAATCCGGATTAGGTTAGTTATAATTAATTAACTTACAATTAATATCTGTTTCTTGGTGTAAGTGTAGAAATCCAGAGTGTGGCCAGAATTAAGAGCTGTTCTGAATATTTCCTGGTGCTGAGGTAACTCAGACTTTGCCAGTGTTTCAAAGGCCACTTTACTCAGTTTGGTGTTTTTGTGCTTTGTGTGACTGAGCAGCCCCTAAACACTGCATTCAAACTGATAAAAAACCTACTGAACATTCCAAAATGTTTAAAGATGAATGGAAAGATATTTTAAAAAAACCCTATAAAAATGAATATTGCAAAAAGCTATCAAGATTGGTAGCATTAGGTGAAAAGTCCAGGTTTCCTGGTGAAGTTTGGAGGCACAGAAAGGTTTATGCACACACCTACAGAAGTTTCACAGTTCAGATCATGAATAATTCTCTCTCCTTATGGGAGGTGAATTTGGAGAAGTCTGTCATGACTTCCATCTGATTCAACATCTGCAAAATTCTTGCAGCTTTGCTTCTGTGTGCGTGTCTGAAGTAGGGAGAGAAAGAGACTTGTGGAATTCAGCTTCCTGGGAGCTGCAGTGTCTAACTGCAATTCTGATGCAAATGTTATTTAATCAGAAACAGTTCTGCTCTTCATTATATCTGATTACTATGGCAATTAAAAGCACCTTTTAACCACCAGTATTCGGGTAAAAGGCTGAATGAGCGTTCTCAGTCCCAATTAGGGTTGAATTAATTGTTTTGAAGACAGATGAACACCCTCCCCTAGTGCAGATGAAGAGAATGCAGGTGAAGGTCTGTGCTGGAGGTTGATGGATATTCCTGCTTTTCCCATAAAAGATGGTTTTATTCACACTGCTGTGTTCTGGTGTGAGCAGGAGTTCTGCTGGGTTTCATTTCACTGGTGCAGGGTGTAATTCCAGAGGTTGCTTTTGCTGTGGTTTTCTAATGATTCTGTGCTTTTCTGGTTGGTTTGTCTTCCTTCCACGTCCTTTGGCATCAACAGAAATCCATTCTAAGCTTATTACGAGTTACATGTTATTTTGTAAATGTCTTTTTGAGTTTCTGTACTGGCTGCTGATTGCATGGGGTACCTGAGAGGTAAAAACTCGGGTCTTATTTACATTTTAAAGATTATTAGTTTGTGGTGCTGGATGTCAATGAGGCAAATGTTCAGATTCCTTTGGGAAGTCATTATTTTTCATATTGATGTCGATGGTCTGTTTGAATATGCCTCACACCTCCCAAAACCTGAGATTCAGAGAACAAAAAAAATAGATTGAGCTTTGCATTAATGCTTAAAGGTGAATATCTCCACAACCAGGACGAGCTTTGAGTTTTTCTCTTCAGAGCAATTCTGCAAGAATTGCTAAAAAACTTTGTAAGATCTGTTTGTGCAGGAGTTTGAAGATGTTTTGAGAATGGGGCGAGTGTCAGAACTCCTGAACTGCTGCTAAATGGGGCAGAAAGAGCTCAGGAGAAATGCAAATGGATGTGAGAATGGACAGCAAGCTAGAAAGAAATTACAGCTTGAAATTTAATCTCACCTTTAAATGTTTTGCTCTGGAAAAATTTGGTTTTGATAATGAAGATGGCTCATATGGTAGCTTCTGATTGAGTTTATCAGGGGGGAAAAATTATTAGACTGACAAATCTGTGATTGGGATAATTGCAGGGAAGAAAGAAAAATTGCATTCTTTTCTCTTAAAAGAAGGTTTCTTGGGGACTATTTACTGAACAGTAACAAGTGGTAACTTCAGGGAGTTTTCTGTGCAAATTCAGCCTTTCCTTAGAGAAATTATTTGTGTTTCAAACAGTAGGTACTGTTATTAATTTTGAAAGCAGCCAGAATTTTGTTTATCTCAATGTAACTGCTGTATAACAGCTGATATTTTGTAGAACTTACAATGTTAAAAAGCATTTCAGAGATAATTGTTGATCAGCTTTAGTGGGGGAACGTTGAAAATTGGTTCAGGAATCAGGGTGGGATGGGGTGAGGAGCAGAAAACCCTTGGCTCTGTGTAAGGGCTGCTCAGTGATGAGGAAAAACCTCCCTGAATTATCAATTCTGTTTCCAGTTCCAAAACACAGCCCCACACCAGCTGCTGGGAAGAAAATTAACTCTATCCCAGTCAAAACCATCAGCAATATTCAAAAAAACCATAAAAAGTCATCAAGGATGTGCAAGAGCTCCCCTTTCTTCAAAATGTGTTCCCAAAACTCCTTTTTTCCCCTGAAATGTTAGAGCAGTTGTTCAATTATAGGGAACTTTTAAAAGGAAATTATTAACCATGACAAAAGCATTGATGGTTTCGTTCTGCTCCTCACAGAAATTAAAAGCAGCTCAGTGCTGTGCCTTAAATGTCTCCTTTGAACTGGAGCAGGATTTTATTGCCAGGTGTAATTAGTGAGGTATCACATGGGGTTTTTTGGGTTGGGGTTTTTTTTTGGTGAGCTGCACAATCTTCTCCTTCCCACCCAGGGCAACCTCTTCCCATTTGTTCCAGATAATTCACATTTCTGCCTCTTTTAGGTGTGGTCCTTGCAGGAAGAGGCTCCAGGGGCCTCTCAATGAAGCCCCAGCAGACCTTGACCATTGGAACATTTTCTCCCAATAAATAAATATATGTGCATCTCAGACATGGTTTTCAATAGCCTGCCTGTACAAAAAAGCACATTTTTTTTCCTCCTTCTATTAATTTATTTAAGCCTCATCAACAATATTCTTAATTGGTGTGTAAGCAAGGGTTTGCCTTGTTTTGTAAACTGATGTGAGTTTGGGGTTCACCTCTCAGCCACCCTGTCCTAACTCCTTCTCCTTTAATTAAAAAGTAAAGAAGAGTCACGAGACAGCACTCTGCTGCAAACTGCAGAGCAGGACTGCTTCCTGGAGATATTTATTATGCATGCAAAATGACTTTAGCAAATGAATAAAATGCAAATATATGAGGAGAAAACAAAAACACGCTTTCCCAAAGACATTGGAAGCTGACCTTCTTAAGTGAATATATTGCAATTAAAAATTCTGGTACTGGTTATGAATAAAAAGTCTTGTTTAAAAGTTTCTCCAGGACACACATTAGACTTTGAAAAGTGCTTAAAAGTTCAAAGCAAAACAGGGTCGTGCAAGATGTGACTAGAAGCATAATTTTAAAACCCTTTGGAGCAGCAGGAGGCAGCAAGTGTTATTAATGTGGTATTTGACTGGATCTTTCAGTAAGGGGCCAAATTTATGACAAATTTCCTGTAAAATGCCCATAAAGCTTTGCCCAAATGGCAGTGCAATTATCTGCATTTCTTATTAAATTAGATCAGTTTGCAATCAGTATGTTTGTAACAGTCAGCACAAGATGCTTTGCAAGTGCATGTGGAAAATACTAGAAAATAAAAATGTGCCAGCAAAACATGTGGGTACTGCTGTAGTGATCAGGGCAGAGGACAAAAAGAGAGGGCAGCAAGTGACTCCAGAAACAAGAGCATGTTCCCAGCTGAGCTGAGGAAAGCAGAGATGTTGGAGGGGAGGTCTGAGGCTTCACATGAAGAGCAGTTCTGTAGCCCCAGGTTATTCCAGCAGCTGGCACCTGCTGAAATATGACCTCAGGTTTGAGTTAGAATCCTTTTTGTCAATGGTGCTGCCTGATAAATCCCATGAAACCACAGGAGAGCCCAGGGGTGTTGGCAGTGATGCCCTGGGTGCTGTGCTGCTGCTCTGGGAAGGTTTTTCTGTTGGATGGGTTTGATCTGCTGGGGCTGCCCAGATCCCAGAGCTCAGGAGGAGCTTGGCTCACATCTCTTGGTGGCTGCTTTGGGCAGCCCAGAGAAAGGAACTGTGCATCCCAGGGAAACAAACTGTGCATCCCAGGGAAACAAACTGTGCATCCCAGAGAAAGGAACTGTGCATCCCAGAGAAAGGAACTGTGCATCCCAGGGAAACAAACTGTGCATCCCAGGGAAACAAACTGTGCATCCCAGGGAAACAAACTGTGCATCCCAGGGAAACAAACTGTGCATCCCAGAGAAAGGAACTGTGCATCCCAGGGAAAGGAACTGTGCATCCCAGAGAAAGGAACTGTGCATCCCAGAGAAACTGTGCTGCCTTGGGCATTTCGTGTTGGAACTCCCTCCCCTGGCTGTATGAAAAGCTTTTGCAGTTGTCATTTCTCTTCTGTGAGTGCTGTAATCGAGCTGGTGCTCCTGGAAATGCAGAATCCTGCTTTTCATCCCTGCTGTGTCTGTGCTCACCTCTCCAGGCCGGAGCTTTGGGCATTCCCTGCTCAGGAGCTCCTGGCTGCTCCTTCAGTTCTGTCAGTGCCTTTTGNCTCTTTTCCCCTCTTCTTCCCTCTTTTCCCCTCTTCTTCCCTCTTTTCCCCTCTTCTTCCCTCTTTTCCCCTCTTCTTCCCTCTTTTCCCCTCTTCTTCCCTCTTTTCCCTCTTCTTCCCTCTTTTCCCCTCTTCTTCCCTCTTTTCCCCTCTTCTTCCCTCTTTTCCCCTCTTCCCTCTTTTCCCCTATTTTCCCCTGTTTTCTCCTATTTTCCCTTTTCCCCTCTTTTCCTCCCTTTTCCCCATTGTTTTCCCCTGGTCCCTTGGAGCCAGGCCCAGCCTTTCTGGCCCATTTTTGCCTCCTTCACTTCATTTTTTATCCCACTTGCTGCTTTTTATGCAATTTCCTCTCACCACTTTCTAACCTCTGCTGTTTTTTATTAAATTCCTGAAAAATTCCCATCCCATCCCATCCCATTTTGGGCTTCAGTGAAATTTCCAAATAAAAATAAGAGGTACCTTACAAGTCAGGTGTTTCTACACAGCCACGTGGTTAAAAGTATAGCTTGGAATCACTCAGAAAAGAAATATATTTTTCAAGTTAAGGCTCTCCTGAGTGTCAAGTGTCTCAGAAATCATAAAAGTGATATAGGGAACACACAAAATTAAGTTGATTAAAATAAGTTAGCCATGTATTTTATAACAGCAACTTAATTTTAGATATTAAGAGCAACAGTTTTACATCCCAGTTGATGATTTAAATATTGTGCCTGTAAATAATAAAACATAAAAATAAACTGTAGCTGTGGTTTTATCTGTGGAATATCAGAGATATTCCTGATGTAGCTTGGTCTGCCAGCAGTGGCAGTCACTGGGCTCTGCAGAGTCACAGCAAATGGAGATTAACTGTCAAAGTGGGATATCTATAATGGAAATATCTGTATTTTTTAGTCTCTTTCAGTAATAACGAGGCCTTTTTTGAGCACTTAACACACTGAATTCTTGGCCTGATATAAAGGTGTGCCACTTGATGGTTCTTTTAAAGTGTTGTTGAAAGTAAAATCAAGTGAAAGGTGCCTTGTGGGGTGAATTAGGCCTGTGCAGTGGACTAAAAAATACCAATAACAGCAGCACAGATTTGTCACTCATGTGGACATTGAAATTTATTTCATTAATTTGCAGCCATATGGTTGAGGCATCTCTCTAGAAAGGCCATTAGCAATCAGGAGCATTGGGGAATGCAAATATGTGTGTACTTTTTATTACAAATCCTGTAATAAAATAGGAATTTTGAGATTTTATACAGGTACTTCACTGTGATTTAATGGCATCATTTTAGAATGGGGGAAATATTTTAAAACATCCTGTGCCACTGTCACTTTGAAGTACAGCAATTTAAAACATGCTCATAAGCAGCAGCCATTTTTCTGTCAAAAAAAAAAAAAAGTTTTATAGTTTGTTGCAGCAAGAAAAACCTGTGTTTTAGCCAAGAGATCTGCAGCATTTCCACCTTGCACAGCTGAAATTGCTGGAACAGGTTTTGCCCAGTCTGGCACATGAAACCTCCCAGGCATTCCTTGTGTTGTAGTTCCAAGATTTCTCCAGAGATCCTTTAGGAGCCTCGCTGAGATTCTGCTCTGAGAAATTGTTTAGTGGATTCTCCCAGCCTGGGAAGGCTTTGAGGATTATTTGAGTCGCTGTCTGTGTGTAACAAATGCTGTAGAGAACTGTGGTTGCTCTGCATTCTGGAGGTGCATTTTGAAGTTATGATTTGGAATCTCCATTAGACAGCTCTCTGTATGGCTCGCACTTTGAGGCTCTGCTGCTCTCCCTGAAGTGAAAGTATCAAGGGCAGAATGAAAGAACAGTCCAAATGACTCTCATGGGCTGTTGCTTATTAAAGAAATTAAAGCATTTAAGAATTTCTGGCTGTAGTTAAACCAATTCAGAAGTGAAGATTGCTTTGAATGTCTTAAGTTGTGTAATCCATTTAGAATTCCTTAATGCAAGCCTCTGGAGAGAGGGGAAAGCTGCAGAATGGCACTTTGTTCTTTCTCCTGCCTGTCTGTGGTCGAATTTGGGCTTTGCTGGCTGTGAGGAAGGTTGTGGCAGCTCTGGAAGTGGGTCAGGCAGTCAGGAAGGCCAGGCTGCAGTTGGGTGAAGTCACCCAACATCTCTGAGTTCTTCTGTCAGCAGCAGGTTGTGTGACAGGAGCTTTGCTCCTTCTCTCTGCATTCCTTACTTTGTGTTTACTTGTCTCCTCTGCTTCATTTGCAATTTGTCTTACACCCCTGCCAGCAGTTCTGCTTCAGCATGCTCATTTAATACATACTGATTTTGTAATTATAAGCTCTCTTTTAAAAATAAACTCAACTTCTGAGATCTTGAAAGACATTTGTAATTAAATCAACATCAAAGTAGGGCGAGTTTCTGGAGTGCTCTGGAGGTGATATCCCACATTGCCAGGAGAACGCTGCTGATTGCAGAGCTGTTCTCACCCATCAGCTCCAATGCTCCGGGTTATTTTCCTAAAATTGGGACATCTGTTCCCTAAATGATTTGTAGCTGTAATATGAAAAGTCAGTCCAAGTAAAAAACTGATATTCTATGACACTGTTTGCTGTTTAGTTGGTGAATGTGGTGGGTTGGGGGAAAGGCTGCTCTTGGCAGGGGAGAGCAGGAGGGTGGCAAATCCAGAGTGCCTGGAATCTCTCAATAAACCCCAACCAGGAGCTCCTTGGGCTTGTCACAAAGGGCTTTGACATTGGAACTGTTCTCCACCCCCAGCACAGGTGGGCAGCACGGTGACAGCAAGGTACAAGAGCTGTGTCTTTGTTCAGCCAGGCACTGGAGCTCTGGAACAGCCTGCAAAGGTGGAGCACAGCTGTGTCCTGTGTCCCTTCCACTGCAGCTCAGAGGCTCTGCTGGCACAGGAAATGTCAGCATGATTACCAAAAGTGCAAATGCACATCCTTGAGTGAAGTCTGTCTGTTAAAAATGTTGCTCTGAAGCTTCCTCAGATCAAATTCCAGTACCTAGTGATAGGATATAAACAAAACATTGCCATGTGGGCACACCTGCTCTTACAGCTGAGCTTGAAAAGGTGCAGGGAAGATCCTATCAGGGAAAAAGTCTGTTCTGCGTGATGGATTGGTTGTTAAGCACCAGGACCTTGTGTCAGAAAGCTTCCCCAGATTTTGGAAGAGGAGGATGGTGTGTCCTCTAGCTGGGTAAGATGGGAGCTGTTCTTCCCCTTTGACCCTGAGGTGTTTAAACATTTATTGTTTTAACAAGTAGAAACTTACTTGGCCTGAATTGAGTAATCAATGCTTGTAATTCCTGCAGATTATGTACTTGCTCTCCCATTTCCCTGCAAACTGCCTCTCGTTCCTTTGTGCAAGACTTTCCATCTGCCCTGAGGCAATAAGAAATAAATAGTAGTTAGTATGCTTACAATGTAGTGATGGTACAAATACTGTCTAGACTTAAAAATCCAAGAGTTCATTTGCTTTGTACAGACTTGCTTTTGCTTACTGAAGTAATTAATGTTGCTGGCTTTCACTTCAGAGTTTTTTCCAGCTGTGGACATGGCCATCCCACTTCTGCATCGTGATCAGAGACCATTGCAATTCCTCATGCAAGAGGCAGTGCACCTAATCAAAATGTATCATTTCACCTCTTGTTGTGGGGAGGACTCTCAGCCTGATGCAATCTTACTTTAGAAGGGATTAGTGTGACCTTTGGCACTATTGCTGTATTAATGTAAATACAAAATGCTTAGCTTGACTGCAGGGAGCAGCCAGTGCTCGCCATCCACGTGAGATTAACTGCTTGGAGCATTTTTCTGGGACTAAACTGCTCTACCAGACTCTCACTAAGCCTTCCTTAGCGTGCAGACTGTGCAAGTGCTTTCTCCAAAATAAGTGGGTAGGATTGGTTTGAGGGCTTTTTCCAGAGGAGCAATTAATGCAGAGAAAATAATAAGGTGAAGGAAATGATTACCTTCCACATCAGAATAATATTGTGCCATCTCTTCAGCGGCTGTGATTTTCTACTGTAATTAAATAATAATATGCTAAATAATCTTTTAATCAGTTCAGGGTTTAATGATGCATGATTGAGTTGCATTCAGTATTTGTGCAGAGACAACACTGATGGATCCAAGTGCTTGTGTTGGTCTGCCACTGACAGTAATAGTCTGGACAATGCAGTTACACCTCAGCTTACCTTGCTCCTGTTCTAAATGTTACAGAGATTTTGCAGCAAGGTGAAGCCTGAGTTTAACCTCTGTTATTGTTTTATTTCTGCTTTTCTCTTTGTCTCATGAATCCTTTTGTCACCAGGGTTTGAGGTATGCACGTTCAAGGTGCTGCATTTCTTTCCACTCCGAGCTGTCAGCAAGGCAGGCTTTTCTGAGGGCTGAGCTAAGGGCCACATCGACACAAGCTGGCACAGACTGAGAAATTTTGCTGCCTTTTTTCCTCTATTTGGCCTTGGAGATTGGTCCACATGTAGGTTTTAGGGTTAATGTGGCATTTTTAGACAGGGTGTTTGGGGTGAACACTGAATTTCCTCCAGGCTGTTTCCCCACCCCCATCTGCACAAATTCCATCCCTGCCTTTTACTTTTGATATCTTTCTGAACCTGTTGTCCAAGAATCCACATCATTCATTTCTGAGCTCATTTATACTCTTTCTTCTCTATTTCCTGTGTCAGCAAATTTAACTGACTTCTGATTTCTCAGACTTTCCCATTTCTTGAATGCTGCCTTTGCCCGTGGGTGGGAGCCTCTGTTGTCCTGTGAGCTGGGAGGGTGAGGTGGGTTCTTTACTGCTGCTGATTTGTTTTCATTTGGAAATGTGGCAAACCCTTTATCCTTGTTAATGCAAGGAAATAAATGGCCAGGCATCCTTTAGGTTGCTGCCCCTTTTTTTGAGGTCTGCTCATCCTTGAGTGTCTGGGGGTTACACACAGGGCTTTTTTTTCCTGGTGGCTGTTGCTGCTGGGGTTCTTTTCTTCATGTTTTCCTCATTTTCTCTACTTGCCTCACGCTCCTACCTTGACACCAGTTATTTATGTATTGGATTTAGTTGGTTGTTCTCTCTTGCTGCAACATTAAGTGGAATAATATTGGAATGGCTGCTCCAGAGAGGCTTTGTCAGTAAGAGCCCCTGCTGCTGAAGGCCAAACTCTGCCTTTCATGTCCACTTTTGAGACCAGTTGTATGAAATGCCTCATTTTCCTGTGGAGTGATGGGCAAATGGAAGGTGAACAAGCCTTGCCTTTGAGGAGTGCAGGGGACAGGCTGCTCAGGGTGTGCATTTTGAAATGGTTTCAAGGATATGGCTTTGTGTGCTGCAAGTTGAATTTATGCTTTCATAAATTAAAACCTTGCAAGAGTTTGAAGAAATTTACATGAATTTCCCTGAAAGTAGAAGGCATTCATGTTGATTCCTTTGCACATTACTGAAGTAGTAAATCTCTAATAAAAGGGTTTATGGGAGGAAATGCAGATATTTTATTATAGTCTATATATATATATGTTCCCTGTTCTGTCGTCTTTTGGAATTTGTCTTGCAGAACAACAATTTCATAAATTATTTGAACAGAAACTTGTACGTTTGCCTGGGCTAGGGGGAAACAAAATGAACAGAATTGCATATTCTACAACATTTTTTTGTTAATTGAGTGTGACTATAGAAGTTAATTATGGGAAGCACAGCTTTAGGATTCATCCTTGTTGCTTGGCTTGAGTTCCTCCCTGCTCTCAAAGCCAGGATGTTCCTAATTCTGGGGCTTTCTGAACTTAGTTTTATAGGATAGTGTTGCTGAAAACACTTTCCATCCATCTTAATCACAAAGGTTAACAGTTATTTGTCTTTGCTTGCTGAATTTCTTTGTGCTTTTGAATTCCAGACAAAAGTAAACTTTTGCTACGTGGCCACGCATTTAAATATTTTCAAATTGCTGCCAACAGTTAAACTTGCTGTTATGCTGCCTATTTATGTACCAGCTGCTATTCTTTTTATGAACAGAATGACCATTTGCATCCTCCTCATTTATTTTTCAGTTCCAGCATTTTCCTTCAGTGCTGTTTGTCCCCCTCTCCAACTCCCCAACAGCCCATAAAAATATTACAGTAATTCAAGTTCTTCAGTTCAAGCAAAAATGTGTGCTTTGATCATAATATCAAATGATTAAACTAATGCAACCATAACCTAAAAGCTTTGATAATTTGTGTTATTCGGAGTGTTTTAGTGGTTGATTTCAAGGTTAACTCTCAAATGGGAATTTAAAAGCTACAAGGATTCTGTGGTCAATATAGATTCCCACCCCAGTTGAATTAAGCTTTAAAAACTTCCACTGTAATTCTAGGATTACATGATTAGTAGTTCCTTTGGTAGCCAGTATAAAGTGGATAAAATTGAAAATAAAATCAAGATAATGGCTGCTATAAAGACAGCTCTATTGGTGCCTTATGTATCCGAACACGCTCGTGAAATCAGTGTTATGGCTGATGGGAGTCGTTACTTACAAAGAATAGAAAATTGATTTTCTTCTGGGAACAGCTTCCTTATTTACCAGATTTTTATTTCCTGGGTGCTGGTTTTCAGCCCATCCTGACTCAATTTCCTTCTGCTCTTGAATCTCATGGAGTCACGGTGCCATTTGTTCTTTAAATAGCACTGATTTGTTCAGGAGGAGATGGAGTGGGAGAGAGGCTTGGCTTCCAAAAGGCTGAGGAGGAACTCAAGTCAAATTGCTTTTTATGATAAAAACAAGACTGACAAACGGAGCTCACGGATTTTGCCATGAAAGTCAATATTCCGTGTTCAGATGGTTTGAATTCCCCAGCTGGATCAGGAATTTCTCTGCACAGGCTCTGTCACTTCTCACCCAGAGCTGGAATTTCTGTGTGATGTGGGATTGCTTCACCTTCACAAGGGTGCTGTCATTTTTTTGCTCACAGGATGTATCAATTAGGGGTTGTTTAATCCAAATTAGCATCACAGTGCTTTTCTTTAGAATAGCTTGTCACACAGCAAGCTGGAGTTCTTTACAATCCCCTCTTTTTTGTTTTTTAATTAGTGTGCCGTACTTTGAGTCTTTACTTCCTTTTGATTATCAGCAGCTTTTATTATTCAGACCTACCTTAGCTATTAACACAGCTCTGGGGCCAGAAATCAGTGTAATCTCAATGTAAGAAAAATATTTCATTTTTTTCCCCCATGTCTATTCTTCAAATCATTCCTGTAACAGAAACGTGCATTAATAAGATCATTCATTTAACCAAGTACATGCATTAAGAAGATGAAATCTCTTTGAACTCTAGTTAGTTTTTAATCTTTGAATTAGATTTAAAAGAATATTAGAAATAATAATATTAGAAATATTGGAATTTTTGCCATAAATTTAAATAGAAATGGAATAATTTGAAGTAATGGTAGAATTAAGTGGTGACATTTCAATGTTAAATATGATGATCTGGTATATTACAGTAGATATTTTCACTTCCTTTTTATGAAGGGAAAGATTTTTATGAGCAGTAATTCAGAAAAATATGAGTCTACTTAACAGAATCATTCTCTCTCAGACCATTTATACTGACATTGTTTTTTTTTTTTTCCCCCATTCTGATACCCTTTTTGGAATCTGGAAGCTTTATAAACTCTTTTTTTTTTTTTTTAACCCTCAGTTTCAGCCCAGACTCTGAAGAGCAACCTGGATTCGATGAACCAGCAGATCCAGCGCCTGGAGAAGGACATCGAGAACTTCCCAAAAACCCAGGACGAGCACGATAAGTTTGTAGAGAAGATGAGCATATCCTTTTTGCACATCCTCACTGCTGATCTGAGCATTCTCATCCTCTGCTTAAATATTTGCAGCACTTGAAAATAGGTTTTTAGTCTCCTTTCACGCATTTCTTCTAGAGCAGACAAAAAGCATCAGTGGACGTGGTGAATGTAAGCAAACAGAGAAATAAAAGCATCAATAATCAGATTTTCAAGGGATACCCAGACAGCTTTCCTGAAGGCAGTAGTTACAATGAGCAGCCATAAACTCAGTATGGGGATTTTTGTTCTGTCAGAAAGAATTATTGAATCGATTTTAGAAAAATACCAGCAGTAAAGTTGACTAAATTGACTAAAATTTATTATTTTAGTTCCAGATGTGGTGTTTTTTAAAGGGCGGAGTATTAATTTGGTTAGTGGTTTTAAGTTAGATTTTTAACATCATTTTAGTGGAATATTTATATTTGTTTTCACTCAGAAGTGTTATGTCCTTTAATTTCTGTAGAGACTGTGGATTCTCTGCCGAGTGAAATCTGTGGGGGACTGTAATGTGATGTTGTCTAGCTTGTTTCTGTAAATCCACCTTTCATTTGGTTCAAAAGTCAAAAGTGACAACTCTACTGAAGACACAAGAAGCTCACAAAAATGCAGCAAAGACTGAGAAAAATCCCATTATTAAAAACCAGCAATTCCCAGGTTTTTATTGTGCTGAAATCCCAGCAGTGAGTGGAAATACGGGAGCGTTTGGAGTGTGGTGCGTGGGCAAGTTCAGGCATTTTGTGCATTTCCAGAAGCTCAGGTAGCTCCTGGGATATCTCTCCTTTCTTGCAACAGAAGTTGTGGGTTTGGGGGTTTTTTCAGAGGAAAGAAAAAGGCTGGGATTGATGTTTAGCTCCATTCACAGCTGCTCATCACGTTTGGAAGGTGGATGGAATGAAGATTTCTCCCCGCTGCTGTGGCTGTGCAAAGTCAGTTTTTTGTAGGATTTTACCATCTGAATGGAGTCAGTGACAGAATTTCACAAGTAGATATTTAACATCTCCTCTGTATGGATTTATTTGAAGTTTCTGACAAGGCTGCTGGAAAGTAGCTTAAGGGAGACAACTCCTGACAAAGTGGAAAATTGTTTCTTATTCCTCACATCTTCCCTTTCCCCTTGTCTCCCACGCAGGGTTAAGAGACCTGCTGCTGGTAATCACTTTTTTCAGTTCTGCTATTAAAGAAAGCTCATTATTATTTCCCTGGGATTCATTCACATCAGAAAAACTTTGAATATTGCCTTTTAATTGTCCTGTCCTGTGCAGAGGCTGAATTCTGTCACATTGGCCCCACTTTTTTTTTGTAAATTAAACCAATTTATGAAATGCACCTTTTACCACTGTTTTTTTCCTTCTTAAGTTTGACAGCTTCTCTTTCCAGCTCACAGAAATTATTGTTCAGTTGTATTTTCATTTATCTGCCTGTGTGTTTACTTAGAGATGATTAGCATCACTCAGATGATTTGGGGAGGAAAAAGAGCCAAGTAAATAATATTTAACATTATTCTCTCTGCAACTTATCACCTGAATTTCTTAGAGAAGAAAAAGTTGGTCTGACAGTGCAAAAGGGTAAAAAAAATATGTACTGATGTTTCATTGTATTGGCAAGTACAGGAGGCAAATAGATAGGAGGAAATGTTGGAAAATGAATTATTCCCTGTGGCCTGGGCAGCCTGGCTCCAGTGCATGGATGTTGATTCCCAGGTAGATTCCAGGTCCTGGAACTGAAGCAGAACCCCAGATCTGTTCATCCCTGCCTGGTTTAGCAGCCCTGGGGGATTGACAGGAGAGGCAAGGCTGGAATCAATGAGCTGATTCCACCTGGGAGTTGTGTTTGCCCCGTTAATGGGTTAATGACAAGTGGGCTGTTTCTGTTTCAGAAAGTCTCCTCCCCTCAGATCAAGTGATCAACTTTGTTTCTGTTATCTCTGAATATTTCAAGGTTTTCTACACTGCTGTATTTTTTATTAGATTGCAGAATAATTTTGCAGGGTGTAAAAATGACTCCCTAGTCTGCAGTATCTATTTCTTTGACTTCCTCACTGCCTGAAGATTTGTTGGCAATGGCACATCCTGAGATTAGAAAGTTACAGAATTTCAGGCTGAACATCTCTGAGCGTTTCAGAAAATTTGAGATGTCTCAGTAGAGTTTTAGGATGCATCAATTATAATATTCAAAGCATAGTTTCTACTCCTGTCATAAACAAAGCTATTCACCAGTTGTTGAGGATGAGACTTTCTTCAGAGGATGTGAGGATGATGCTGCTTGGAGTGTCACATTAATGTAGGAGGCCAGTGACAAGAAAAATACCATTCATAATATGAATTTGTATTAATGAAATTAATATGCAAAATACAGAAGCAGTTTCTAAGCAAGATAATTTTTCCCTTCACTTAATCAGTTTTTTATTTAGCACATACAGTTCTTCATCTCAGTGCAGTGTGGCTGAAGAAAATAAAGGGATTAAAATGCACCTTCTTTGAATTTCTTGCTGTATTAAATAACTTACATGTGATCCCTGAAACAACTTTTTCATGATCTGATCCATGTCTGGAATTGTATTTTACCTGCAGATCAATTTGAAATAATTCAGCTTTAAGTGGGAGAGGTTTCTTTTATAATTATCCCTTTGCATTCAGCACTGGGGAGTCTGATTCAACAGTTTAGAAAAGTAATTACAGACTGTGCCAAATCTGGCTTTCACTCCTGGTTTTATTTCAGTGTTTGTGCCTCCAATTGAAGATCTTTTCTAAAGTGCAGAACTCTGAATTTTATATTTGCTTGCTGTAGGTGCACAGTCTGATTTCAGTGATGTTAAAACATGAGTGTCTAGCTGGGGATTGAGAAAGGTATTCAAATTAATGGAGTTCCAATGTAAATGTTATTAACAGAGATTAAAAACAACTGAATTGAGAAGCAATTTCAGAGGGAACAAATGGAAATTTGTAGAGTTAACATTAATATTGATTTAGGACTATAAATACATGAATAATAAATACCACTTCTCTCTCCCTTCCAGCATGCACACACACTGAAGTTTATTCCTCCAGAAAACAATTTATTCCTCTAGAAATAACCAGGAGCTTTGAATGCTGTTCCAAGGGGCAGCAGGGCACATATTTGGTCACTGGGTTTGTGCTTTTTGTCATCCTGCTACCTGGACAAGAATAACTTGGGCTGTGTTCTTCTAATATATAAAATTATTATTATATATTCTTATATATATATGATATTTGGTTATGTTATTATTTATGTTTTATAAAATATCTGACATGAATTTATCTCTCCAATGTGTCCCCCATGAATTGGTGTTTCCTTTAATGGAGGCTTTATTTGGTTTTTCTGCTTTTCACCTGGATCATTTACCCCAATAAGAGACATTAACGTGCCCAAACTTACTGAAATCTTGTGCCTACCAGAGCCATCAATGCTGCCACGTGGGTTTTCTAAATGATTGCATACATGTAAAGAATTAAAAGCTCATTTTTAAAGCATTGCAAAATTAAGGAAATGATGAATGAAAGAGCAAAAATTACTGCAGATAAAAAAAAAAAATTCAAAGCACTGTGCATTCATCTTATCATTAAATGGAACAGCAGCAATTTGTGAACTAATTTTAATTTCCAGCAAGGAACACCATTCATTAGAAGAGAATCCTTTTTATGGAATAGAAAAGCTGCCTTCCTGAAAGGCATGTATCCTCACTCGATGTGCATTTATGCTCCCAGCTCTATCTGGTAACCACTGCAGCCTCACAGCGGAATGTGAGGGGTTTATTTCCTCACTTGATGCACTTCAGTTGTACAGAGATGATCTGGGGACAAATCTGGGGACTTTGGGGTGGGAATGTTCAGGATTTAATGTGCATTAAGCATCAGCTGCTGATTCTCCTGTAGAGTCTCTTAGGGCAGCCCTGGGGAAGGAGCAGACGTTCCCAGAGCAGGGATGCACGGATCCAGGGGATCCCAGCATCCAGAGGGGCTGGGAGCTGGCTCAGAGGCAGGACAGCAATTCCCCCCAGAGCCAGGGACAATGGCAGGAACACTCCTGGCATCTCCCAGCCCTGGGCATTGCCTCCTGCCTTCTCAGGGAACAAGAATTCCCATGGTAATAATAATTCCCAATAGCCTCCTTTGGAGCTGGAAAGCAGCAAAGCCTGGTTTTGGAACTTGGGATGTGCTAGTGCCTTCATTTCTGCAGGAAAATGTACATTAATATCTGAATTTGCTCATGAGCAGGGGATTCTCACAAATAACCCCACGGGGGAGCATTTCTGGGAACTTTGTGTATGTCCCTGCATTTGATGTAACTGCCTTCTGCCTATTTTATTTAAATGTGGTTTATTTAAATGTGGTTTTCAATGGCTTTGGGAACTGGAAGAGAGAACCATTCAATGATTTTTCAAATTTCAGGTCAGGTAGAAACCTGTATCTGCCCTTTTTTGCAGTATTTATATAAAGTTTTTGTTCTCTGTACAAAAATGGCATTTGAAAACAGTTTAATTTGCAAGTGCAGCTCTTGACTAAAGGAGAATTATGGTTATTTATCCATATAAAATATTTCTCAGTATTGTGTAGGGAGAGAAGTCTCCTTTCCTGCTTCTGGATGGAGCATGGATTATTTCATTTGTTACATTTGAAGTTGCTGTTACATCATAGAAGTCATCAGAGCATTTTCTTAGAGTCTTGAGCATTTATTTCAATTTATTCCTTCTTACAGTTCAAAACAAGCTTTAGGGGACAGGAGAAAGTTGCAGCTGTTTAAGTTGAAACAATGATGAACTTGTTGAAACTTTAGGATTTGCTTAATATCAATAAATAATAATGAGCAGTAGGAAGAAACTTCTATTTGCTATTGATTATTTAAGACTTGGTCATTTCTGTAGCTTTTTGTATTTAAGTATGAGAAATTTTTGTTTCTTAAAAAAATGAACTTGTGATTAATTTAACTTTGTTAGCTTCATACCAGAAAACCCCTATTTTTTTTCTA